CCGATCTCCAAAAAGGTAAGTTTTTTGGTTTACTCACGAAACCGATCAAACTAATCCCAGGACATATGCTAATTTTTATGTAAAATGGGTAAGAAGGAAGAACGCACGTTCGACCCAGAGAAAGGATGTTTGAGATTGTTGAAAAGTAAGCAGAAGTATAGAAATGCAAGTAAAAGAATTAAAAAAGATAACTTTGCAGAATAATAGTAAAGTAATGTAAAAAAGACTTTCATTAAGGAAAAAAGGTGTTTCCAACGTACATTTCTCAGCTTTATCCTTTCTCACGCAGTAGTTACTTGGATAATGTTTGAGTGATTTAGTACAATAGGTTGAACACACTTGAAAATTACACAAGCTTCTTAATTTATACTAAAAATAGGTAACCGCCGAGGGAACATTCTGCGCTAGGATGAAGACAAGTGTCTTCTGCATGTCCCTCGACCTATGACTTTCAGCCACATTGCCTCCTCTTAAACGCTGGCAAAAACTGCCTTTCCCTCCAATAATTCAAAATTCAAATAATCCTCGTACCATGTGCCAAAGCGAGAATACTTTCTTTTAGTCGAGTAACATAAGTCTTCTTCAGTCGAATGAGCCCTTGGTCGAAGATTCCTATCATAACTTAGATCTTTTTTCTTAAGTTATTTCATGTGTCGAATCATACTTCCTGGCTTGGTTCATTCCAGTTGTTTGGTCCAAAGGACCAAACATAGTAAGTGTCGAATTGGGGAGCCAACAGTATCCTGGAAAAACATATAAGGATCTTATCTGGAAGGCTGCTAAAGCAACATACTCACAAGCTTGGGAAAGAGAGATGAGGGTAATGAGAATGATCAGTGGAAAGGCATATCTCCATATGATGAAGACTCCACCAAGATATTGGTCTAGATCATATTTTAAGACAACCAACAAGTGTGATGATGTGCTCAACAATATGTCAGAGGCCTTTAAAAGTGTTATTATTGAAGCTAGCGCTAAACCACTAGTAACAATGTTTGAGGAGATCAAAACTTAAATGATGGAGAGGGGTAAAAAATAGATCAAAGTTTCAAGAGGTATCTGGTAACGATATTTTGCCAAACATTAGAAAGAAGATGGGCATAACAAGTGCCTTCACAAACTTATGGCTTATCAGGTATGGTCTGTTATTGTTAATGTTAATTGCATAATGTTAATTTTTATTGTTGATGTTAAATGCAAAATGTTTATTATTATTGTTAATGTTAATTGCAGAATGTCAGATGAGCATATGTTTGAAGTAAAGCATGTGGAAAACTCAGTTGAAACATTCACTGTCAACTTAAAGGATTACTTGTGCTCCTGTAGAAGGTGGGAACTTACAGGACATCCATGTGTCCATGCCATGTCAGCCATGAAGAGTAGGAATTTTAAAGTTGATGATTATATTCCAGATTATTATAGGGCATCTGGGTATAAGGCAATATATAGGTTTGTGCTTTATCCTGTGAATGGATCCAATTTGTGGGCAAAAACTCCTTATCCAGATGTGCAACAACCTATGTTTAGGAAGATTTCTGGTAGACCAAAGAAAAGGAGAAACCTTGAGCAAGGAGAGATTGATGGAACTGGTAGAAAATTGAGAAGAACTAGTTTTACTGTAAAGTGCTCTAGGTGCAAGATTACTGGACATAACAAGAAAACTTGCAAGGTCACTGCAACACAAGGCACTGCAACTCAAGGCACTGCAACTCAAGACAATGCAACTCAAGGCAATGCAACTAAAGGCAATGCAAGGAAAGACACTACAACTCAAGGCACTGCAACTCAAGGCAAGGTAAGGCAAGGCAATGTAAGTCAGGTTGGGACCAATGCAAGTTAGATTGGGACAAGACAAGTTTCTGCATCTCAAACCACTGCAAGTCAGGTTGCAGCAACACAAGCATCAGCTACACAGGGATACATGAATTCAACTCAGTCTTCACAAGGAAAGGCAGTACCAGGGCAAGGCACAAAGGAGAAAGCTAGAGGAATTAGAAAGCTATAAAAACTAGGTGTGAGAAGGTCCTTTGTACCCCCAGGACTAACAACAAGACTCTCAGCATCCAAGAATGCAACTGGTCCTACCACCATGCGATCTACTCCAACCAAGAGAAGCACATCAAATAGGACCATCTAGTTATAATTTTAGGATTTATGTATTTTAGAACATGTCTATGTAACATGTCATTTTGTCAACCTTTTGGAACATGTTTATCTTTCAACCTTTAGGAACATGTCTATGTAACATGTCTATGTGTTTTGGAACATATCTATGTAACATGTCAACTTTATATTTTCAGTTTAAGTAATCTGATGGGTTCATTTACTAGTAATGCCCAAAATTATGTTGCTACAATTAATGATATGCCAAACTGATATGCTTTGATTAATGATATGCCAAACAAAATAAGTCTTATTAAACCGATAATATGTGTTAAAATTACACATAAGCTTGCACATAAATTTCCTAAACTGATAAATTGTGTTAGAATTACACATAAACTTGTTAGAATTACACAAACTGTGTTAAAATTACACACAAAGTTTCTACGTACTCCTACTCCTAATACAAATTAATGACAAATGCACATAACATTACAATAATCTTCAATGTTTTCTCCACTTCAACATCTTGTTTAGTTGAATTTGAAGTTCTAACACAACATCCCCTAATTCTTCATTTCTAACCCTCAATTTTTCGTACTAATTCTTGGTTTCATCTAAATACTTTGCTATGCTTTCTAATATATTAATCTTATGTCTTCTGCCAATTCCTCGTGAAACCAATCGAAGAAGCCACATCCTCTTTGCAAGGATCCCTGCAAATTTCAAGAATTGATCAAACTCTATTTACCATCTTTCAACATACCCAAACAAAAATTAGGGCTTACCTTGTAATTGTGACAACCCCAAAATTTATTTCCATAATTCTTCTTAGTGGTTGTCCTACGAAGAACAACGTTGTCTCCATAACGACAAAGTGGTGCAATTCGCGAGCTACTGTATACACATGACTCAACACTTTCAGATTTCTTCAGGTTCGTTTGGGAAGATGAATGCTTCGTATTCATGGAGAAAGGTAATTGACGGAATGGACTTGTTTGAATCTTTAAAAAAATTAAAGGACCAATTTGACACGAAAAAATGATAAGGGACCAAAGTGAACCATGACGTATAGTTAAGTGACTAAAATGAGTATTTTGCCAAAAATAAAATAGACTTGAAAATATATTTGTTTTTTTAGGATAAAATAACATTTATACAAAAAATGATACAAATATTTATTTTTATAAAAAAATGAGACATTAAGATGGGTGAATACCCAAATTTCTTATGAAAACAGAAATTTGTTATTCTTTTTACATTTTATACATATTTTTTAACTATAATTGTATTATATTTATTTACTATTTATAACGATATTGTGTGATCCGTGCGAACGTTAAGTAGATGACTACTTAATTATTTCTTTTATTTTTCTACTAAAATATATATTTCTGACGGACAAAAACTATTTAATTTATATATATTTTATATACATTTTTTAACCATCACTATACTATATTTATTTACTATTTATAACGATATTGCGTGAACCGTTCGAACGCACCACCGGTAGATGACTATTTAATTATTTTATTTATTTTTTCTACTAAAATATATATTTTTTGATTGGTCGAAACTATTTAATTTGTATATATTTTATATTTATTTTTTAACCATCATTATACTAATTGTATTTACTATTTATAACGATATTGTGTAAACTGTGCGAACGACTGGTAAGTGATTATTTAATTATTTCATTCATTTTTCTACTAAAATATATTTTTTTAACGGGCCGAAACTACTTAATTTATATATATATATATATATATATATATATATATATATATATATATATATATATATATATATATATATATATATATATATATATATATATATATATATATATATATATATATATATCGATTTTGCAAGACTCATGTGAATGCACGAGTCCTTTAATAGTAGAATAACAATGAGAATAAAAAATAGAAAAAACAAAATTCAAATAAAAAGAAAGAATGAACCTAAAGGATGTTGTAAGACCCACCGAAGACCCTAATTATTAAAGAAGGAAAATGGTAAAGAGAAAAAACATTAAATCAATTCCTCAATGACCAATTAAAAACAAGATTTGTAGATTCCTTCTCTCTACCTGCCACGCTGCCATTTATTTTCATTTCTGTGTTCACCGTCAATTCCTTCTTTTTTCATCTTTGTCTCCTTGTTCTCAAACTCGCTCTCTCACTCTCTGTTCTTTCCAAATCTCATGAAAACAAACAACAACAATCCTGCTTTCATTCTCACGGTTCAATTTCGATTTCATTCTCTCTCTTTATCTCTCGTAAGTCGTTTATTACGATTCTGTTTCAATAATCATCTCTCTATTTCGATTCTGTTCGGTTACAAAGTTTTTACGGATTTGATTTTAATACAACCACACATGGATTCGTAACTTAAACAAGACAAAGTCTAAAAAATTAATTGAAAATTCTTCGCAGGTAAATTCTTCTCATATAGTTCTATTTTGTGTCTCGAATCAAAAGTGTTTATAAAAACTCTCTAATACCACGAATCAATTCGTTTAATGATTTGTTTTTAATCTTCTATAATCTATAATATAAGAAACATATATGTAATAGAAAAGACATTTATACCCATCACTACCACGTGTTAAATTGAGCTACTATTAGTTATTAGTTTTTATTGTGTTAAATTAGACTACTATTAAACTTCTTATTAAATTTCTTTTAAAGAGTATCAAAATAATTTTGGTAATTACTTTATTATATTAATAATAGATATCTAACCTTAATCGTATATTTTGAGTTACATAAGTGTATAGATAGACTGTCATCCTCAAAATTTTGTGTGTCAAATAAGATATTTCACAGTTAGTTGAAGCTTCCTTGGAGAGACAAACATGTTAACAAGCTGAGGTTGAGAAAACTATGGTGGAGGAGTTGTTCTTCTGGAATGGAAGCAACCACCCAAACCCACTTCAACAATTTCAACATAACTCCAATCTCCTTCTTCTCTCTGGCCCTCCTTCTTCGTAATACACTTTCTCTCTCTACAATTTCACTTCTTTCAATTTTTCTTCTTCTTCTTCTAATCAATAACCATTTTTCTACACAGTGGAAAAACTTCACTTCTCTTCCAATTCGCATTCAACGTAGCAGCAGCAGCACTTCACTCCAACTCTTCCAACCCAAATGTTGTCTTCCTCTGTAATCAAAACAGATTGGATTCCAAACCCCCTTTTCTTTCTCAGGGTATTGACCCATCTTCTCATGTCTTCCAAAGTATACAAATCAAGTATATACTATATACCATAACCCTTTTCTTTTGTTCCATTACTCACCACTTATATATATTTATGCTGATTTAATTCTTTTTGATTGTTTGAGGTAAGATATGTGAATGACGATGAAGACATTAGGAAGTACTTTGCTGCCTTCCATCTGTTTGATAAATTGCCTGATGCAGTTGTTATTGATGATTTCGGAGATTTCTTCGACAACAAGTAATTTATTTGGTCTTCAAATATATCATGCATTCAATAAACATCTTTTATTTGTTTTTCTAATTCATCTTTTGATTTTGAGTTCTGATAAAGGGTATGTCAGCAAAGGTATTCTAATGCCCGCGGACGGGACCTGGCCATGATCAAGAGTCTAGCCTTGTGCCATAATGCTATTAACTATGCAAAGTGAGTGTTCATTGATTACTGTTGTCGAGGAATTCTTGATTGTTTTCAGCTATTTAACTCTTACTAATATCCGTAGTCATAAGGTTTAGTTGGCTTTTCTGTATTCTTTTGCAGTCAAAAAGGGTCTTGCAAGCTTCTCTTGTCAGATACTCATACTCATCAGGGAGACTCCCCGAGGTTTCACTTCATCTATAAGAAATGGGTACACACCACTTTCACAATTAAAGGTTGTCTCCATTGGTCCATGACACAAGTTTTTTTGCGTATACGTTCAATTATGATTTACTATTTTATCATGCATCATAACATTAATTTGTTTAAACCTGTTTAAACTAGTGAAATATGATCAGATGAATGGTGCATACTAGTTACATTTTTTTTTTGTTTAATTGTTTTGCAGAAGGGGATATATCTGGATCGTTTATTTTGAAAGTTAGGAGCTATTCACGTACAGATAACACAGGTACTGAAGATATGAAAGCTGCTAAGTACTCTATAGCTCTTCAATATCTGGTCTTTGATGGACTTGTCAATGACTATGTAGAATAGAAACCTACCTCTTCAATGAGCAGAACTATATCTGTATCATGGCACTTGGCATATGTTCCCTTGTTCCATTGATTTATTAACTATACTCAATCATATAATGAACTTTAGTTTTGTGTGCTTCATTAGTGAAACCACATGAATCCCATGTTTCAATTAGGGCTTTTAAATCATATAATCATATAATGATTTATACCGTACACCACATTTCTCAGGTTTTGATTAAAATTCTAGTTGCTATGACACCAAGTAAATAAAAGGCGGCGGTTCTAGTGTTTAAGATGTAGTTAACTTGTAATCGGATTAATGCTTATGATTAAGTGCATGTTTGTTTTACATTAGAAAACCCCAAACTTTTATTTAGCTAGCCCCAATAGTTTGGAGATTTTCCAGTTGATTCAAAATTTGATAACCAGCACTAAACCCATTATTTGGTTTTGATACATGAGTTAATTATGAAGATTAGAACAGCATGAACAAATGTCTCATGCTGCTGGTCTTTGCTATTACATTGTTAACTTAGGAAGAGTAGAATTATTGATGACAATGCTTGTATTGCCTTGTTGCTGGTATTTACGGGAATATGGTTATACTTTTGGAGAGATGTAATTTTTTCAAATATATAACAAAGGGGGAAGCTCCCCATAAATAAATAACCTTCAAACCCCCAAAGTCTTGTTTGATTATTCTATTGGTTTCGATATCATTTTCTCTCACGCCACTTAATAAACACTCTAGATCAAAACAAACTCTTATATTTTCATTTATTTATTTTTAATTCATACTATATTAATATATATTTTTTTTTTAATTCTGTTGGGTATTGGATTAATATTGGCTTCTATTTGTATAGTATTTTTCTTTTTCTATTATTTGTATATAGATAAGGTATAGATATTGTAATTTAGCTAGCTTAGGTGACAAGTATTGATTGGGTACTTAAATATTGTATATATTGCAGTCACAGTGTACTTTACTCTTCAATGAATGTAACAATATTTTTCCATCTTCTTCTTTGATACATTCTGTTACACTTTCTTGCTCTCTTATTCAACACCATTTCATGAGTTCTTCTATTATCAACATGGTATTAGAGCCTGCTAAGCTCTGGTAGCCATTGTTTTGCTTTTTTGGTATTTCGCGATTGTTCTCACTACTATATGTTTTGTCTTTGTTCTTCTCCAATCACATTTTTCCATTCCTTTTCTTGACTCTTCCAACGGAGAACCAAACTTATGCCAATTTCTCAACTAATTCTGCAAATCCTTACTACCTTCATCTGAACGAGAATCCAACACTCGTTCTTGTTACTCCACCGCTCAAGGATAAAAATTATCATACTTGGGATCGATCGATGCAAATTGCGCTGATATCCAAGAATAAGGAGAAATTCATCGATGGAACCCTAATCAAGCCTCCGGTTTTAGATCCACTGTATGCGCCATGGATTTGTTGTAACATCATGGTTCTTGCGTGGATTCAATGTTCTATTTCGGAGTCTATTGCTAAATCGATACTATGGATTGATAACGCAGTAGGTGTCTGGAAGAACTTGCATATTCACTGTTCACATGGCGATATCTTCCGCGTCTCTGACATTCAAGAAGATCTATACAAATTTCGTCAAGGTACTCTCGATGTTCCTAACTATTTCACTCAATTGAAGGTAATGTGGGATTAGTTAGAAAACTATCAACCAATTCCCTTTTGTTTTGCACAGTTCCATGTTCTTGTGGTGACATTGCATCAGTTAAGAAGTATAAAGAGCAAGATTATGTCATACGATTTCTAAAGGGAGTGATTGAAAAATTTGCACATTCAAAATCACAAATTATGATGATGAATCCCTTACCTAATATTTACCACGCCTCTTCTCTTGTTATTCAACAAGAAAGAAAGACGAATAACTCTGTTTCTACAAGTTCAAACTCATGAAGGAAACTCTCATGCCAAACATGGTAACAACATTTTCAAAACTAAGAATTAGGGATACAACAGTTCAAGAGTTCATAGCAGAGTCTGTATACATTGTGGTAGGACAAACTATACAGTTTAAACATGCTTTCTCAAGCATGGACTCCTACCGTGATATAAAGGCAAAGACAATGTTCAAGAGACTGCAACATAAACAACTAATAATGCATCAGAGACTTCTCTTCAGGGTCTAACTCCTCCTGCATTTGGTTTTACTCAGGAGTAGAACAACAACATCTTAGCTTTGCTCCAACAGTCTAAGCCTAATCCCACACTTAACTCTATTTCTACTTCACCCTTTGTCATGTACTCTCATGTGTCCAATGTGAATGGTAAGAACCCTAATCTTTTGATTCTTGATACTGGTGCTACTGATCATTTCTCTTTTAATTTTCCGTCCTTCATTGAATATAAAAATATAGATCCCATTCCTATTAGCTTACCAGATGGTTCACAAATTGTTGCCTCTATCTCTGATACTATTGCCATATCCTCTTCATTAACTTTGCATAATGTGCTTTACATCCCTAATTTTCATGTCAACCATATCTCTATTTCTAAATTAGTTGATAACAATAATTGTTTTCTACAATTTAATACTAATACATGCCACATCATGCAGAATCATTCCAAGGAAATGATTGATATAACTAACTTGCAAAGGGGACTTTATGTTCTTGATTCTACAACTCATCATTCAACCAATTCTTCTGTTGCATATAATTCTTGTAATTTGTGGAATTTAAGATTAAGCCATATATCCAACATAGGTTTACAAACTATTTCAAAAATTTTCCCTTTCATTCCTTGTAATGAAGATAATGTACCTTGTGACTCTTGTCACTTTGCTAAACAAAGAAAATTTCCATTTTCTAATAGAATTTCTCATTCTTCTGCCCCTTTTAATATTCTACATGCTGACTTATGGGGGCATTTCTCCATTATTTTTACTTTGGGACATAAGTACTTTCTAACCCTGGTGGATGATTATACAAGACATACTTAGGTAATTTTTCTTAAAACTAAAGATCAAACTAAAATCAGCCTCATTAACTATGTTGCCTACATAGAAAACCTATTCCATACCACACTTAAATGTCTAAGATTTGATAATGGGTCAAAATTTGTTGCTTTATCAGATTATCTTCTATCCAAATGCATCATTAATCATAAAACTTATGTTAAAACACCCCAACAAAATAGAGAGGTGGAAAGGAAACACAAACATATTCTCAATGTTGCTAGGTCTTTATTTTTTCATTCCAACATTCTCCTGAATATGTGGGACTTCAGCATACAACATGTTGTTCACATTATCAATATGCTACCTACACCTCTACTCCAATCCAAGTGTCCTTATGACATTTTGTTTAACCAACCCCCATCTCTAATTCATTTGAAAGTCTTTGGATGCTTGTGTTTTTCTACCTCTTTACAAGCCCACATGACTAAGTTTGATTCAAGAGCTAGGAAAACTATCTTTCTTGGATACAGAGAGGGCACCAATGGCTATATCCTTTATGAAATCCACAACCATAGCATTTTATCGAAAGGAATGTTGTTTTCTAAGAAAACACATTTCCTTTCAAACATAATACTTTAGTTTCTTCTACTTTACCTTCTTATCTCTCTTTATCACAAGGTAAAAATTTGGATCATCATCACCCCGAGATGCATATTCAATAACCTAGCACCATTGACATGTCCCTTTTTCATGATATTTTCACATCTATCAATGACAGTACTACTATCAGCTCTCCCTTTACTCCTAACTATCTTAGTCTTGGCCTAACTCCTCACAGTTCAGCTGATTTGACCCTTCATATTGACTTCAGCCCAGCCATCCCTAGTATCATCAGTTCTACCATCCCTATTGATGCTGACCCTCCCAATACACCTATTGTGATACGGTGGGAGAATTGACTTGAGGTTTTGCGTTTCGTCGCAAATGTCGCGGTTTAGCAAGAGTCGCCACCGACTTTTATTTTATCCAAAAGGAAAGGTAAAAAAGCATAGGAAAGACCTTCGAGATTTTTTCTTGAGTTCGGGGGGTAGATTATGAAAAGGGAAGGTGCTAGCACACTTTTCATCCATGGTTTTCCATGGGCTCTTAGTTACTTGCTTCGATCACTTGCTTTGCTTTTGAAATTGTTTGAAATGGTGCTATGTGTTTGGTGTGATTTTGAAAATATTTTGAAAAGAGGCCATTTGTTTAGGCAATCTTTGTAATGATTCTCGTTCGTAAGAATGTATACAAAGATGTTTGTCTTTTGAAAAATGTTTCAATGTTTTGAAAGTTGTTTGGAAATGTTTTGAAAATGTGTGTGTGTTTGTTTTTGAAAATAGCAAGGATTGTTTTGCAATTGATCAAGTAACTAGAAGCTATCTACCTACTCAAATGTCTTTCTTGTGCATTTTTATTTCTTTGACATTGTTGATTTACCATTGATTTGGTAAACAACCCTATCTTTGGATGTTAAACGAGACGGGCGTGGGTCATCGTATGACCATGATAGCAATGTTGCCAAGTATCTTAGCATGTTTTAGGGACCAAGATCATTTGTTTTAGGCAACCTTTTGATAGCGTCATTGAGGGACTATGATCTTTTGTTTTGTTTTGTTTTTCCAAGATACTTTGCATGCATACCATGACCATTTTATTAGGCAACCAAGTGGGTGAAACCCTAAGGGTGTTTGTGTGCAATGTGTGTCATTTTACATGCCTTTGATTGTCTTGTATTAGGTCATTGTTGTACCCCAAAATTTTCCCTCTCATTTTATCAATATTTCTCCTCACAAGACTCTTTGAACTCAAGGCCAAGCTAGGGTTTGCTCTGCTCAGGACATCTCCTTGCACTGATGACCTGAATTAGGGTTTGAGTTTGCACAGGGATTTTTGGACTTTCAATGCTCAAAGTGACTTTCATACTTCATTTTGGACTTATAATATTTCTCATATCAAGTTTCAGGCCTTGACTCAAATTTTTGCCTAGTCAATTGGACATTTGACCTAAAAATCAACTGTATTG